GTCGCTAGCGCTCAAGACACGTTTATCGTCAATATCCAGCCGCCTGCGGGTCAGGCTCCATTCATTACTGCCCGTGTGTCTGACTCTCTGGGCGGATCTTCCTGCCTGCGTGAACGCATTCACACCAGCAGCAAACCTAACCCTTCGCGTCTTAAAGTGAACACGGACTTGTAGTGTACTACTCTAGAGCTCCATCACTGTCTGTGACTAAACGTCCATTTATTAATACATAACCCCTTACATAAATATATAGTTTGTCATGATTAGATTAGGATTTCATTGTAATATATTGAAGTAAACTTAGGCGTCCCGCTGGCGGGACGGTGACAGTTAAGGGGTTTTAATAACATCGATACATAACAGTCCTTATGTTATCGTGTCATGTGGCAAAAATGTAAATTCTACTCACCCTTCATGTCGTTCCAAACCTATTCGACTTTGTGGAACACAAAAGTTATTTCAAATAATGTTCATAATCAAACAGTTTTGGTTTTCATTGACTTCCATTATATAAATAAGGAAAGAAAGAAAGAAGAGGGAGAGAGAGAAAACAGACCTTGAGACTTTTTTATCAAAATAACTTGAAGGTCATGAGGGTCAGTACATGGCAGGATTAACATTTTTTGGGTAACTACCCCTTGAAGGAATAATTTACCAAAAATATGGCAATTCTATCATCATTTACTCACCCAAATGCCATTCCAAGCCTCCTCTGCTGAACACAAGAATGTGAAGTTTTGAAGAATGTGGGTTACCAAACAGTTGCTGGTAGCCATTGTCCATAGTAGGGGGAAAAATACTATGCAAGTCAATGGCTACCAGCAACTGTTTGGATACACACATTATTCAAAATATCTTTTGTGTTTTGCAGAAGAAAGTAGTTCATATAGGTTTGAAAAAACTTGAGGGTGAGTAGGCTAAATGATGACAGGAATTTCATTTTTGGGTAAACTATCACTAACCCTTCTTTATCCAAAAACCAAAATTCTGTCATCAATTACTCACACTTGTGAGTCATGCTCTTCCAAACCTTCATTCATTTCTTTCTTCCTACATAATTGTCTGAAATGCAACAAAACTGAACGCAGCCATCAAGCTAGAACATAACTTTTTTTTTTGAAAGACTAATTAGTCGAATCCTCACAAAAAACTCTCATGACTTCATTGTCCTTCTTAGAGCTTGACAGCTGTCCTACCCCACCCTCTGTCCTAGCATTAGCCTGGGGAATTGTAGCAAAACTCCTTTTGTGTTGAACAAAAAATCTGTAGCGTTTACTGCAAAACAAAACCTTTCCAGTGAAGGCCCTTTCTGGGTAAAATGTAGCTCTTTCAAACAAAAACACTGTCCTCCTCCATCTCCCCATGTATCTTACTTGAGCAGCACAGTTTGCTGTACACTGTAAATGCAGCTAAAAATACCCCACTGAAAGACAAAGGTTCATGCATTTAAAAGTAGAGCAGCACATCTAGATGCAGAGATTTATAAAGAATCACTTTAACAGTAGAGAGACTACTGATTTTTACCACTGGCTCAGGTGGGTAAGCACACGCAGATGATGTTCAGAATGAAATATAGCATGCTGCTTGTAGTATATACACTGGTTATTTTCCTTACTATGTGAAACTGTATACAGTAAGCAATGACCTCATTGTTACATGCTTAATTCAGTGAATGCATCAGAGACTGGCCAGTTGCTGTAAACTGTCTTAACTCTGGTTCTAGTGCTGCAGTCATCATTAATGAAAACTAAAACAACAATTAATTGTAAACATTTTCATGACTGAAATAAAAATTTAAACTAGATACCTGGTACAGTATAGTATAAAACTAAGTAGTTTCAAGTTTCGAGTTTAATATATTTATATAGCACCATTAACAACAGCAGCAGCTGACCGATGTGCTTTACAGCATCAGATGAAAGTAATAGGAAATCACAAATACATTCACAACTAAAAACAAAGCCAATTATATCAACAATTAAATGATATAATAAAATGTAGCAACCTACATGCTATATGAAAATGCCACTAGATAAAAATAACACTGGATTGTGCTGAGAAATTTGATGGCATTAAACATTTTGAAATGAAGTCAGATACTGTAGCAATTAAATACTAAAATTAAAAATGAAAAAGCTAATATAATGTAAATTAAACAAAAAATAACAAAAATACAATTGAAAACTACATTAACTCTGATCAAATATTGACTCGGCAAAGAGATGTTAAAAATCATGGCTGATGATTACGTCATTGCAATGCATTGTGGGATGCCTTGCATTAAGTACATTCTGAATAAAGCCACATCCTCAGCCAAAAGAAGACACCGGGACCACTGGATTAAAAAACATACAACCAAAAGTGTTTATTAGTTTTGTCCTGTCTGGAACCTAGGAGCACATCTCTCAGGTCAAAGGTCATAGCGCTTCCCTGGGTCATGGGTCCCAGCCGGTGTGGGGTCAGACAGGGAGGAGATAAGGTGGGTGGGAGCAGGTCACACAGGATGGCACAGAGTGAGACACACACACACACACACACACACACACACACACGCAAATTCATTTCTTAAACAACTCACTACAAACCTGTATTAGTCTGTTGTAATACACCACCACATAAAACAAGTGATGCGGTGAAGTTCAAACAGCCAAAGAAAGTGGCAGAGAAGATGAGTGTGTGTGTACAGTATGATATCATACGCACTGTAAATATAAAGACAGTGAAACCGAATAGTACAAAGTATGTAGAGATATAGAGAATTTCAATGAAAAGACTGAACATAACATTAACTGTAAAGGAAAAATAAACACAAACCAGGAACAAAAATAACATTTAACATAACTGCAGTTATGGGGGTAAAAAACAAAAAAAACATCCATGAAATAAATGTCATGGACAATTTCATAAATTTCATTACTGTTCATGAAAAAAGTGAGTCAGAGAGAAAGAGATGTAGTGTGAAATAATAAACAACTGGAACAAAAACAATCCAGAAAAGTAGACATGTAGTAGATAACAGAAGCAGCTTAGTCACGTTTCCCACCATTCTTCTCTCTCCATTTATTAACCACACGCAGTTTCGTGCTCTTACTATTCCATAACGTCAACCGTCATCCATGTCTAAGGAACATTTTAGAGAAATAAAGCGAGAAAATGCCACAGAACCAACAGTATCATAATTTACTTTGGTCCAAGTCCCTGCCGGAAAAGGCTGGAGACTTGTCAAGATGCATAACTCATATCAGTAAAATGTCTGGTGTGATGTTCCACTGTTTATTAAGCAAAATTCCCATTTCAACACCTCCTTTAATTCTTGGTGCCAAGTACAAGTGGTTGGTCAGGATCGCCTGAAACTTCTCTGCCTGTGCTTTCACGACGGCTCAAAAATGACAATCCAGCCTCACGGGACTTTCACAGCTTGAACCAAAACAACATTCATGTTCATTTATCATGTAAACACTTTGTCGACAGCTTTTCGAGTGTCTCATTTTGCTGATTGACTTCCATAGCTATTTTCCCTCATCTCAGAGCTTTTCACAACCCAAAGTGCTAATACCTGATATTAAAGGCTCAGAACGATACAAACGTGTGTAAACAAAAACTACCCCAGATCTGCTAACCGGTCACAACCAGCATTTCTCAAATGTCCCAGTATTGCCTGTGCTGAACGCCCCATTTCCTATAAAATCCTCCCTTTTAGGTTAAAGATAGCTTACAAAAATATTGTTTTAAGAAGATAAGCAACGCAAGGTGGCCAGTTTCCCACCCTCGACCTCAGCATCCAATCATCTCCACTCAATCCCATACAAAAACAACCACAAAGCAAATGGTGAGAACTGGTGAGAACGAGTATAAACCAGTTGCCAATTCCTCAGTTACCATTTATGTAAATGTTGTTTATTATCGTCGGTCAAGCAAAGACGCCACAGCACTTCGACACTCTGGAAGAAGTCTCTTGCAATCATCATCCAAGCAAAGGATTCATGTCCTTCATTACCCAAGATCTTCCCTCCTCCTCTCAGAGTGTTTGGAACAAGACTTTGAATCTCAATATGATGTTCCACCCAACTGGAAACAGTAGAGCCGAGCCTGGAAAAATACACTGGTCCGTGAAATACAGAAGAACAGGATCAAGTGAAATGGAAAGATAAAGACGGACCCATCTAATCGAACGTCCTGAGACATCCTGGTCCGGCGGATAAGGCCTCCTGCTTCATGATGCCGCAAGAACGTTAATCATTTGTTCTGAGCTTAGCAGACATCTCTTGTTCCCAATAGAAACTGATAAAGCTGTTCACTAAATGAGCAAACAAGAACCTTAATGGCTCAACGAGAAGAAAACATCCCACGAAAACCAAGTCAAGGTGGCGTTACTTTCAAAATGAAAATGACAAAATCATAGAAAACATGTTAATGTAACAGACAATTAAATCAGTCTAGACATGTGCAACTATCCCAGTAATACTGAAATAAAATAATAAAATAAAACCACATTAAAGCAAAACATAAAACATAAAAGTAGCAGTGGGCCACTGATGCTGCAGAAAACACAAGCGCACAAGTGCCTTATCTCCTGCTCCGATTCCCACCATTCCATTGGAAAACCACTGGTAGACTGGGGAAAAAAATGAAATATAATGGGACTAAAAACAAGTTTGAAGATGTAAACTAAATGACGTCTGCGCCCACTAACATTCACAGCTTGAAAAGTGTGTTTATGTAGGAGTGTGTCCTCAAAGACGACTCGTACTGCGAATCCAGAAGCGAACAAACGATTCTTTTACTGTTTGACTGAACTTGTGTAAACCGGTGTGCTTATTGCAGATGTTTTGAAGCTGTACGAGTCTTACCATAAAGGAGTGACTTCAAACATCTTGTTGTTCCTGCTTGATGAGCTCTTCCATTCTCAATCTTTTCTTCCTACACACCCTTGTTTTGAACATCTTAGTTGCCTTCTAGCAAAACAGACATGTTTGTGTGTGTGTTTGTGTTGATATGAGCTAAAAAGATGGCTGGAGAATCCATAAAAGAGCACAGAGGTTGAACAGAAAAAACTGAAGGAGACATTCAGAAGATAAAGAGTTTCTCTTCATCTGGAATTCATGGAGTATCGGAGCCCTTTCGGAGTTGTGTTTTAATAAATGAGGGACTTCCATTTGCTGCAGTTGAAACCTGTTTGTGGAAAATCTTGTGTCATGCTTGCATTAGCCTTAACTCAAGTGTCTGAAGATGCAATCACCGTCTTGTGTGAGTGTTTGAGGATCGATCTGCAAAACCGGAGAGATTCCTGCGTGTGTTTCGTCAAAGAAGGAGGAGCGCTGATTAGATTTACAACCAGTTAATACATAAAACTCAAGCAACAAAGAAGGTAAAGAAGGTGTAAACAAACTCCAGAGGTCCATGAAGAGTACTTCAAGAAGAGCCCAAGAAGATTCCAAGTTCCTCGCTTGCTGGGAATCGGATGGAAGATGCAGGAAGTGTAAATAAAATGTAAAAGGAAGAAGGAATCAGGTCCTTTCGGGTCAAACCAGCGGAAGGGACACCATTGCTGCTGGGGGCGTCGTGTCGCTCTCTCTTTCACACACACACACACACACACATACACTCTGCTTGTTAAGGCAGTGGTGCTCAAGGAGTTTGCTGTGGGGCTCAGGCTGGGTGATGGCAGTGGAAAAGCTCCAACGCACACAAAACACGAGTCATTTGCTCTTTTATTCGTCCCTGGCCTCTCCTCGTTCCCCAGCGATCTTCATATTCCTCTGCTCTCCTGTCATCCAGCCGTGTTTGATTCGCCCTGGTTTCACTCATTCAAAGGACATTAGATTCGCTGGGACCTGAAATGGAAAAAGAGAAAGTGACAATGAGAAAACCTCAAAGGGATATGTATGATTTCACAAGATCCTGTACTGATATCTACTAGCCATCTATTTCGGATGGTGAGCACTCTAGAGAAAGTTTGAAGAAAAAGTTCCATGAGGAACTCCAAACAATCAAAGATCTTAAAATATTTTACAAATGCAAAAAAAGGGTATGTTTATGATTATAATTAATGCACGATAAGTTATTCACAGTTTGAGTGGAATCAAAATATGCACCAACTAGTGTCTGCAAATATAATAATTAAAAAATAAAATACTTTTTTATTGTAAGCTGTAAATAATACATAATAATACATTTTAAAGGTGCAGTAGGAGATCTTGGAAAATGCTAACTTTAGCCTGATAGCACTGAAAGCGAACGTCCCACCCTCCATGCAATCGCCGTCCAAAGCCACGCCCCCTGAACGCATATTACGCTCACAGACCAGAGACAACATTACTACAATAGGCTACATCAGGTTCCCAATTCCAGCCCATGTTCCGAAGTGAAGTAAACTTCAACGGATTTCCCCTGCTCAGGGAGTAGGGAGCAATGAACACTGTGTAGGGATCATATCAATCGGAACACAGTTCATGCATAGCTCACTTCTAACGACTGGATTAACCGCTGGGCTACATCATGTGTCATTCACCTGTGAGAAAACTTTAAAAGTACTACAATACCAGGGAGGAAGATCGGGTTGTTGATGTTTGTCTGCCATTCTCGCTCTGTCTGCACAGCGTGCGTGAACGCGCTGATGACGTATCCTGTCTGCGCGAACAGGGTGCGCAGAGGTATGCTAATACATACGTTGACAGGCAGGTAGGAAAGCATATTAAAACGCTCGGACCGAGCGTTTTGATTGGACGAACATTTCTTGGTCCTACGCCTTCCACAGAATATATAAATACAGACAAATACATTTAGACCACTTAACTTAATGATTGCTATCGGGATGTGAAGAGACTTTCAACCAGCATAACAAAAAATGTTTCTGAAGACAATCACCTATTTCACCTTTAAATAAAATGTTTACATATAATTAAAAAATTTAAAAAGATTCATATAAAGATATCTTTCAAATAAATGATTTCTTTCCATCAAAAAATCCTGGAAAAAATGTACCACTATTTCCACAAAAATATTAAGCAGCACAAGTGTTTTCAACATGAATAGAAATAACAAATGTTTCTTGAGCAGCAAATCAGCATATTAGAATGAAGCTGAAAATTTAGCTTTGCATCACATCAATAAATCACATTTTAAAATACATTAAAAGAGTAATTTTAAATTGTAATAATATTTTACACAATTATGTTTTTATAATACCTAGAATGTTATAATATTTATTTATAATATTTGAATTTATTATGACTTATGTTGTATTCATTGTATTTGGTGTAAATTTATGTTTGTTTAATTTAGTACCTCAAAATGAATTAATTCATGAAAAAAACTATTTTGTTGAGAATTAGAGATATTGAGAAATATAGTGCTGATTAAACTGGATAATATATCATGATCTGATAACTATAGGCCCATATTTAAAAAGCCATCACCTAAACGGCTTCAGTGTTGTTAGCTAATTTCTGTAGTTCTAGTTTGCAATGTAGTTAACATCTTTTTAAAAAGAGTAGCTTGACTGTAGTTTAACTATTGTAAATAATGAATAGCTCCTTTCAAACTAGCTTCTCCAACACTGCACTTGACAGGAAATGTGTAGTAAAGATCAAGCACTAGAGGGCAGTGCCATTGCTCAGTTTAATGAAGACCTAAACACCTGCTGGCAGAACCAGGTTTTGTAGGTCGGTCTGACCCGGTGCACTTGGAAACAACAGGTTTCAAAAAGCCATTATGTGAAATGCTGTTAATTTAATAGATCCCACTGAAACTGTGTTAATGATTTGCTGCTTCAGAAAAGAAGGTTAGAGCAAAATGTAACCACATTTACTGAACTCAAAGGATTTCAACACAATAGCATCTCCAGAGGAGCAATTAACATCTACAATTTAGCTTAAAAATGCAGCCTTTGCATGGAAACGCTCTGAACACTGAGTGCACACCGAAGGGCACTAAATGGCTTTATGTGGTGCATTTTCTCTACAAAGAAAACTGTGAGTTAAATAACGCTCTAAGCTGAATAAATCCACACACACACACTCACCTGTTGCCTGTTGCTTTGACAAGCTGCACTCAAGTGTTTGAACCACAGCAGAGCGTTCATTCTGTTCCCTGCTTGGAACTTATATGAGTTTCCTGACAGCACACAAACAAATAATTGCAGATAATTGCATATTATCATATACAGATAAATAGTAAATCTTTTCTCAGTATCGACTGAATAGATGTTTTGCAATAGGCTTTATTTTTGTGATAGGGTGTCGCACTCTTTGATTGAGGCTTGCGATTGGCTGCTGTCAGAGTACAAGGCTTGTGATTGGCTGTCTTACCGTGCTCAGAGTCAGTCAGCAGGAAAATGTCGGGATGCTCCGGGTCATCTGCCATCATGGCCATTAAGCCCAAAACAGAAACACTTTTGCTGGCGTTAGACTTGAACTGTGGAAAATAGTCAAAATATTAAAATGCTTCTAGAATTATTTTTTTAATTCAATATAAACATTTTTATTACACATTCTATTAATAGCATTACAATTTGTACAGAAATTAATTATTTTGAAATACTGGGATTATTATTTGTATTAAAAACTGAACATTACAGTCAAAATATAAAAAAGTGCCAATCAATTGTTTTGTACTATATAAATATTTTTATTATAAATTATATAAATGACATTACAATTTGTATAAAATAATTTAATTAGAATTATTAATATTATTATTAAAATGCTTCTAATCAAATTATATTGAATGGCATTACAATTCTTATAAAACTGTATTTAATTTGAAATTATATTAATGTATTATTTTTATTATTATTATTACTATTACTATACTGAAAATAAAATAATTATAAATTAGGGTCCAAATATTAAATGCTTCTAATCTAATTTTCATTTAATATAAACATTTAAATATTAAATAGCATTACAATTCTTATAGAAATTAATTTATATTGAAAATGTACTATTATTATTATTATTATTATTATTATTATTAATACTACTACCTATTGTTGTTGTTGTTATTATTATTTAATTAATATCCACATCATACGATTGATCACGATTGATCACTCGCGAGATCAAACGTGATCAATCGTTCCTACAATCGACAAGTGCGTGGTCTCGCGGTCTGGTCAAATCGTCTAGTGTGTGCGCTTAGAGGATTATGTCTGTGGTCTCCCATGGTTTTAAAATCGTTTAAGATTTGAAAATCGTCTAGTGTGTCCCAGGCCTTAGTGTATGTGTATTTGATAGCGACATGTGCTTCTCATTAACACTAGCTATGTTTCCATCTACCTATTTGGATTATCGCATAAAAAAACGCTGGATGGAAATGCCAAGATGTGCATAAATTCTAAAAATGCACATAAAAAAACTTATGCGCACAATTGAGTAGGATAAACTTTTTATCCAATAAGAAAAAATTTGCATAAACTACAATAGCCGGGTTTCCATCCAAAGTTGCAAATTTAACTTATGCGCAAAACTGGAATATCGCATAAAACATTTGCGAACAAGCATCGTTTCCATCCAACAAGTCAAAGAGAACAGAATCGTCTCTTCCTGAGAAACTGGCACTATAAATCACTAAGAAAAGTAGGAGAATATAATAATTTTCATATATAATAAATTACTTGCGCTTCAGAGCGAGCAGACGAAACGCAATGAATGCGGTCATTGCTTTTGGAGGTGGATGCTGCTGTTTGGGAACGCAGTCGTGTAAGGCATTTCTGGGAGGCAATTATACAGAAATACTTTGATGACAGACTTTGCTCGGGCATTTCCAAATGACCATAACAACATTTCAGATGCTGTGGAATGAGATCGGTCTGCTGGTTAGTCAGGTTTTGCCGTCCCATAGCGCAAAGTCACATGACTTTTTTGATGCGCTTGGAGGAATTTATTCGCAAAATGCATTTCCATCTCCCATTATTTGCATCAACCGTTTTTCGCACAAGTCAAAAACCACCTCGAGCGAGCGTAAAAACGTTTTTGCGAATTAAGGGATTTTTCTTCGAAATTTGACGTTTCCATCACTCGTTTCTCATGTGATACTTCAAAATGTGCATTAAAATAGGGTGATGGAAACATAGCTAGTGGAAACACATTTACCTAATAAATTCCACCATGCCAATTGAAGAAGTCATGTGACTTTGCGCTATGAGACGGGATGACTTGACTAACCAGTAGACCGATCTCGTTCATAGCATCTATATGTTGTTATGGTCATTCTGAAATGCCTGAGGAAAGTCTGTCATCAATGTATTTCTGTATAATTACTGTATTACATGACTGCGTTCCCAAACAGCAGGCATCTACCTCTAAAAGCAATGACCGCATTTATTGTGTTTCGTCTGCTCTCTCTGAAGCACAAGTAATTTATTACATATAAAAATTATTATATTCAGTGGCTTCTCCTAGTTTTCTTAGAGATATTTAGTGCCAGTTTATCAGGAAGTGACGAATTTGTTCTCTTTGACTCGTTGGATTAAAACGGTGCTTTATTCGCAAATGTTTTATGCAACATTCCAGTTTTGCGCATAAGTTAAATTCGCATCTTTGGATGGAAACATAGCTATTGGTAATGTGTGATGTCATCCATCTCATTATCCAATGACTGCGAACAGCTGCCCTCATTCAGCACTAAAGCCTGATTAATCAGTCATCTGGCATGCTGCTGTTAGCATCCTTCCTGGCTCCAACAACTCTTCCTCCCCTCTCTACACCTCCTGGACAGCATCACATCTCTACAAACGCCACCCAAGGCTTTCTGTCTGACTGAGTCCATTCAGCGTAACTGTTCCTGGCTCACAGGATCCCTGTCTCTCCCAAACTCTCCTGCTGGATGGTATTAGTATAAGCATTCTCCCATCAGTGTCATACTGAAGTGATTATGTGATGACGCATCAGGCTGCAGGACACAGTGATGCTCTCTTCCTCTAACATGATGAGTGTCATAATTTCATCAGCTTCAGATGGACCACCCATGGACTGTATAAAGCATACTGTACGCTAACCCTGGTCAAATCAGACAGTTCTAATCTCACAGATGCACCACTATGAAAATTGTGGGAATGAGGGCACTCAGGATTTTATTAGTCCGAAGTGAAAAAAAAAAAGAAAAGCAGTGCAATAACTACTACCATGATGTACATTGCTGTTGAAAAGTTTGGAGCCAGTACAATTAATTTTTTTTTTTGAAAGAAAGATTAAAAAAAAAATAATAATAATAAATAAATAAATAAATAATAATATATATCTTTTTTATTTAGCAAGGTCACATTAAATTGATCAAGTGTGACAATAAATGTATTTATAATTGAACAAAATATTTCTATTCCAAATAAATGCTGTACATTTGAACTTTCTATTGATCACAGAATCCTGAGAAAAAAAAGTATCACGCTTTCCACAAAAATATTAAGCAGCACAACTGTTTTCAACAATGATAATAATGCAAAATGTATCCTGAGCTGCAAATCAGCATATTAGACTGATTTCTGAAGATTCATGTGACACTGAAGACTGGAGTAATGATGCTGAAAATTCAGCTTTGCATCACAGGAATAAATTATATTTTAAAACATATTCAAATAGAAAACAGTTATTTTAAATTGTAATAATATTTCACAATGCAACAGTTTTTACTGTATTTCTGATCAAATAAATGCAGCCTTGATGAGTATGAGACTTCTTTCAAAAACATTACAAATCTTGCCAAACCCAAACAATTTTGAAGGGTAGTGTATATTTATTTTAAACTGAAATGTTTTTATCAATTTTTATCAAATACTACTACAACTTATTATTAATAATAAAAATCATAAGTCACATTACACTAATATTAATTTCTTTAAAATTATAAAAACAATTGCTTTGTCAGTATATATATATATATGTGACCCTGGACCACAAAATCAGTCTTAAGTCGCTGGGGGATATTTGTAGCAACAGCCAAAAATAAATTGTACGGGCCAAAATTATTGATTTTCCTTTTATGCCAAAGATCATTAGGATATTAAGTAAAGATCATGTTCCATGAAGATATTTTGTAAATTTTCTACTGCAAATATATCAAAACTTAATTTTTGATTAGTAATATGCATTGCTAAGAACTTCATTTGGACAACTTTAAAGGCGATTTTCTCAATATTTTGATTTTATGCACCCTCAGATTCCAGATTTTCAAATAGTTGTATCTCGGCCAAATATTTTCCTGTCCTAACAAACCATACATCAATGGAAAGCTTATTTATTCAGCTTTCAGATGATGTATAAATCTCAATTTCGAAAAATTGACCCTTATGACTGGTTTTGTGGTCCAGGGTCACATATATATACAAAATCTTCTTTAAGCTTCTTAAATGTAGCCATTTTTTTTTTGCCAGAATAAGCAACAATATAGTTTGTGAGACTACTGTGTGCTGGTATCTGTAATAGTGTGGAAAGACTCACATGCTTCCTCTCTGTGGCCTTGAGGGACTTAGCAGGATAATAGTAAAGCTGAGTACCACAAAGAGCCACCCAATACTTAGTCCACGCTGCCACCTACAGACAATACAAGAGAAACCGAGAGAGACAAAACATTAGTCCAAACACTGAAGCTTACAGACCCACACCAGAAGAGCTTTCTCAGAGGTAGTGCAGAGAAACAAATAAACAAACTATTGACCACAGACATTTATCAACCACTTAACTTACAATAATTCAATTCAATTCAATTAAAGGTACTCTAACGTAAATGTGTAACAATCAAATTTAATTTCATAAGACTACCACATACACCACTGGCACACACATACATATACACAGCCTATAAGTGTGCTTTATTTTCATGGCTGAATTAAAACTAACTTTTATAAGTACAAAATCCCTACAATGTCAGCTATGCATAATATATCAAGCTTTTGTGTGAGACACATTTCCTGAGCAAGCACAAAACAAAATAGAAGGCCAAGAAGAAATCTGAACATATCGATCAAGATTAACCGGATGATACACTTAATTATACGTTTATGCAAAACGGAGCCCAAACTGTACAAACATGTAGTTATCCAGTGTATGTACGTGCAAGCTTGAGTAAAAGGTCTAGAAATACAGAGACAGGCAGATTTAGTAGCAGATCAAATATGTGCAGGAGATGTGGGTTTTAAAAGGCCTCTCAGCTCCCATTACTGGACTTCAACGCAGTATCTTTTACTGCCTTGGCTCCGTTCACACACTCCTCTCTGAGGAAACCGCTGAGTTTGATGGAGCTAATGGAGAAATGACTGACAGTTAAGAGAGACTGTAGAGCAAAAGATGAAAGAGCAGATTATGATGAGAGGGCAGAGGGGAAAGAGACATAACGACAGAGATGGAGGAGTGCAGACAGAGAAACGCGCTTGAGCAAAGGATCCCAACTGGTTTTGATTTTACATTGGACATCAAGTAGTGACCCAACAGAACCAAATTCGTTTCATGTAAAAAAGTAAAATGTCATCATGATCAAGCAATATTTGCTACAGTTCAAAATTTTGGGATGAGTATGATTTTTTTTTTTTTTTTTTTAGAAATTGATACTTATATTCAGCAAAAGTGACAATAAAAAATGATATTTCAAATAAATTGTTCTTTTGAACTTGTCTATTCATCAAATAAAAAAAATGCCTCACAGATTCTTCAAAAATATTAAGCAGTTTTCAACACTGATAATAATAAGAAGAAATGTTTCTTGAGCGCCAAATCAGCATATTAGAATGATTTCTGAAGGATCATGTGACACTGAAGACTGGAGTAATCACATCACAGGAGTAAATTAGATTAATAGTATTTCACACTATTACTGTTTATAGTATATTTTTTCATCAAATAAATGCAGCGGGCATTGGAGACTTCTTTCGAAAACATTAAAAAAATCTTACAGACCTCAGACTTTAGAATGGTAACATGTTATAATATAATATAATGAAATATGCATACATTAATGATAACTTAATAATATTACTATGAAAATACACAAACTCTCCATGCTAGCTTTTACCAAGTATCAGATGCATATGTATCAAAATAAACCTTTACTGGACTTTGACGTCAAAAACAAAATGTTTTAAATTGCAATATTATTTCACAAAATTACTGTTTTTACATTTTTAATCAAAACGCGAGTGTAAGAGACTTCTTTCAAAAACAGTAAAATAACAATGTAATATTAATGTAATATTGTGTACTATTCCACGTGTCAGATGAATGTATCAAAATAGAGTTTTATACTGCATTTGTCAACAATAAATAGATATGGGAAACAATTTTTCTCTTTCTTTTCTTTTTCCTTTTTATTTTGGTTTGCTAATAATGCACCATTTTAAAAAAAGAAAGGAAAAGAGGGTGAGATCACAGGGAGATTTTCTGGCCAGGAGACAGATGAGGCGGTGGTGCTCTCACCGTGGGTTTCTTGCCCTCCTTGAGGACTGTTTTCCTGCGTAAGACCCCCTGAACTGTGACGGCTCCTGGGTACAGATGCACCGCCAGCTCCTCCGACTCTGCAGAGCTACACACACACACACAGGTTTAACTGACACATGGGACATGCAACACTTTTTAAAAAGACACACATAAATGTATAAACCAAGTGAACATATTTTAAAAGCCACACCCCAGAGTTATGATGTAAAGACAGTGAGGGTGTTTGAGAGAGAAAAACAAAGCAAATGAGTAAACTGTTAAAAACTGAAAAGGTAATAGTGACTAATCTGTCTTAAAGGGATAGTTCACCCAAAAATAAATTCTGTCATCTTTTATTCAACCTCATGTCACTCAAACATGTATATATTAAATTATATGAATTCAAGAACATTGATTTGCTCATTTAGACTGAACTGAAAAAATATCTGACTCAAAATAGTGGTTCATTTATGAACTCTCATGAACCTGCCAAGCAGAACTTGGACAGAAGTCAAGATTCTCACTGAATATCAACTTTAGTTTCCTTACACAAAGCTACTGTGTGACTTCAGAAGACTTGGAATACAACACACACTTTTTTTTTGTATCAGTAAGGAAAGTGACTGATTTGGATTGTGGGTGAGTAAATCATGACATAATTTTCTGTTTTAGGTGAACTATTTGTTTACTTCTGTAAAAAATATATATATTTTTTTTTATTGTTTCTCTTATTTTTTCTCAGCTTCTGCATACTACCAGAAGCATTTTCTCTTTTCACAAGTACAGAAACAAAGCAACTCTACCGCCTACACAATTTGTAACAGACATTTAAGAGCCACAAAACATTCCTTTATTATTCATTTCTAAATCTAATGTTTTAGGTGAACTATTTGTTTACTTCTGTAAAAAATTTTTTTATTTTTTTTATTGTTTCTCTTATTTTGTCTCAGCTTCTGCATACTACCAGAAGCATTTTCTCTTTTCACAAGTACAGAAACAAAGCAACTCTACCGCCTACACAATTTGTAACAGACATTTAAGAGCCACAAAACATTCCTTTATTATTCATTTCTAAATCTAAACATAAAAGAACAACTGCCTTACACTTAAAGATTATTTCACCGTCTGGTCCTTCAGACTCACTGAATTGGCTTTGGTTTAGTTTCACTTACAGTAGGATCTAAAAATAAAAACCCTCTAACGTATGACATTAACACTACTATATACCAGCATGCTGCTCATAAATACACTTTTGTGGCATTTTAAAGTCCACTTAGTGAAGGTTTTCTTAGGCTGCATGTCCACCAAAGTGTTTTTCCCCGAGGCTAGCATATTTTTTCAATTGTTTCCAAAGGGAGCGCTGTGTTTTTTAAAACGCCAGGAGCATGCCGAGCGTGGAGTGTCTTTTTCACGCTGAGCGCTCGGGTGTTTTTTTCTCTGTGCCGAGAGTTGAAGAATGTTCAACTTTAAATAAAACGCAGTGCTCTTCACTGTCATGTTTTAGTCAGCCGTCCAATCACAGTGGAGGAGGGGCGGGACTAATACCACACCGACCGAATGTCACACATTCTGCTTGTACTACGACTAAACAACAATGGAGGAGATGTTAATATTGCTTGTCTCAGAGTATACGTGTCTGTACAAGATGGGATTCCCGAACTATTATGAATATTAATATGAAAAATAATGCTTGCAACATTTAATTCACATTGCGTCTGCCACATTACTTCAGTGGATATTCTGTATCATAGTAACCAAAGCGCCTCAACTGAAAAAAAATAAATAAAAATGCTGCGCCGCAGAAGCGCTCACAGCTAGGCGTTTACAGCTGGCTAAAAAAAACTTTAGACCACACACAGCCTTAATTCTGTTTCCATGATCATTTTCTACATTTTCTCATATTGTAAAAACCCTGTTTTTTTTGCTACTGCACCTTTAAGACTTCTATATGTAGATGGTCTCTGTTATGATTGGGTAATCTCTCCAGATGTAAACTGCATAACAATACCGAAAAATTGTTGATATGCAAAATTGGGTGGTCATTTGTTAACCATGAGCACCATATGTGTTTCATTTATGAACTAGCTTATGTACATTTATTTTTATTTTTTGATTGCTTTTTTGAAGCGGTGTTTTAAAAGGGGACGAATTTAGCCACACAGAAACGCTCTCTGCGAGGGTTTTATCGTGCTGTGCTTTGACGCGCAATACTCTCAGCATGGTAAAACCCTGTCTGAGAGGTTGAGTCTCAAAATTAAATTGACCCTTTTTAAAGCACCGCTGGGGTTTTCAGAGCACTGCTTGTATAACAAATGCACCACATTCAACAATAAATTTCAAGACAATTACTGTCAGACTTCAAATCATCTGCTGTGAGCAATGTTCCCTTTATTATTTACAGAATTTGAAGGTCTTCATCTAAGCTTCTATAGCTTTTTAGTCTATTTATTTGTTGAACATCTGGCAGTTATCCTGCACAATTCGTTTTTTTAACTGTTCATGTTCACATTCTGTGCACCTTTTTAAAAACTCAGAGGCCTCTTTTCCATTTTTTACAATTACAATTTAGTTGTTTTTGAACACAGGAACACATCCAATGTGAACGGCCTCTAAGAACTGCATTTGATGGACCCATTTACTGAACTTGTCATCAAAATGCCATAACTGGCTGTTTCTGCTGAGGTATGCAAGGCCACGATGCAGTTCAGCCAATCGCATTCATATCTGAATCTACTGCTGTATGCAAACACTTACTTTTCACAATCCAATCAACAGCTGATGATCAAGTCCTGTCCTACATGCTATTCTTAATTGATGAGCTGCTTCACTCGGAAATAGTTACAATACAGTTGTCACAAATCAATCTCAACTTCCACTTCATATCGACATTAAAGGAATAGTTCACCAAAAACTGAAAATGTGCTAAAAAATGTTGCTCACTTGCAGTGAATGGGTGCCATCAGAATGAGAGTCCAAACAGCTGATAAAAACATCACAACAATCCACATGCAAGTAATCCACAAGCTGTGTGTTTGTAACAAACATCTATCATTAAGATATTTCTAACTTCAAACCATTGCTTTCAGCTAAAATAAGAGTCCTCTATTCATAATATCGTTTTCTCCAATGAAAAAAGTTCTTGTATGAATCGGGAGAAAAATATACACAGATCAAGCACCATTTACAAGCAAAAACAGTTAAAAAAAAACTTGTCTTGGCGGTGGATTTTGATGTGAGAGGACAACAGGGGATGGACACTTTCACTGGAGGAAGTGTTATTATGGATTATGGACTCGTATTTTTACCATAAGCGATGGTTTAAAGCAGGGGTGCCCAAACTCGGTCCTGGAAGGCCGGTGTCCTGCAGAGTTTAGCTCCAACTTGCCTCAACACACCTGACTTCAAGTTTATAGTATGCCTATTAAGAGCTTGATTAGCTGGTTCAGGTGTGTTTAATTGGGGTTGGAGCTAAACTCTTCAGGACACTGGCCCTCCAGGACCGAGTTTGGGCACCCCTGATTTAAAGTCACCTTAATGATGGATTTGTTTCTTACAAACATGCAGCTTTTTGCTTCACAAGTCATTAATTGTTGGACTGGAGTCGTGTGGATTACTTGTGAATTATTGTGATGTTTTTAATCAGTTGTTTGAACTCTCATTCTGACGGCACCCATTCACTGTAGAGGATCCACTGGTGGATCCACTGGTGAGCAAGTGATGTAATGCTACATTTCTCCAAATCTGTTCAGATGAAGAAACAAACTCATTTACATCTAGGATTGGCTTAGGGTGTGTGGATTTTCAGCAAATTTTCATTTTAGGCAAACTACTCCTTGAGGATGACTAGTTTACTATTATTTAGACAATCTAATAACTAGTGAATTATCACACATTCTGAGTTTAATGGAGTGTTGATTATTTTATGAATTTTTAGCACAGAATTAATTCAAGTCATTCACAGTGATGGTGCTTTTGGTGCTAAAGGTCGCCATTTAGCTGTATTGTAGGGAGTAAATCAACATTAGTCGTTCAAACCCTTATTTCAAAAGAGGAACATTTAGTTTTCCCATGATATGTTTCTTTATAACATTGCAGCAAGCGGCATTATTACAGCAGAGGTGAGAGGAGCTGTGCGCGTTTGGAGAACAGAAAGCAGGAGCTATCAGAAGAGATGCTTCAGTGGCTTTTGCGGGTTTTGATTAGCAGCAACAAGCCACGACTGCAGCATAAGAGTCAACATCACACACGTGATTCAGAAAAGCCCACCACCTGATTCCACAGTAAGAAAACACACACTACACACTGTGATGGCGATAGCTCCCCAGTTGTACGGGTAAGTCAGACTGAGAGAGACCCGGCGGGGGGTCGAAGGGTTGTTGAGTTACCTGCTGGGCCTGAGCGCTCCTCTGCAGGAAATGCGACCCACTCTGCTGACGGGGCCCAGAGAGTGGTAGAATCGAGTCCTGTAGAGTGTCAGTCATAGCGGGGCAGTGGTCAGTCACAGCCCTCACACACAACACACAGTACAGGCTGTGCTAGAGCTCTGCACCTTTTTTCTTTGTCTCCTTCTATGGTCTAAAGACTCTGGCTAACATGTCTGAACAAATGGTTGGCACACAATACGTGGTCAACCGATAAAGGTTTTTCAATAACCCATGTGATATCTAGAAAGCAGGGTGGCCAATGACCAATATAGTGTCACTATATTTAATATAACTAATGGAGAGTATACAGTTAGCCAGCTATTAAGTGACAAGATGGCAAGCGTTTATTTTGCAAAAATGACCGGCGGACTGTATAATATCCCACTAGTTACTAATGACTAAAAAATGAAATAAAATAAAATAAAAATTAGGGATGCACCAAAATTTCATCCGCCGAAAATGCCATTTTGCCATTTTTGGCCAAAAGTAAAAAACTGCAGAAAATATGAGCCTAAAATATATGCTCCGCCCGGCAGTGATCAGCGTGCCACTCTATGAATATGCGTTTCGTTGAGTTGCTCACGGCCCATGCGAACGCTCGTGTACTGCTCATGCTCACCGGAAAAGCAAAGTCCGCTCAAATAAGTACATTTCTATGTAGCATACTTGTTCCTGTTTGCAATAGTGCTACTGTGCTGTAACATGGTGTAGTACCGCTGTACTGGGCAACGCTGGTAAAATGATGCTAGCTTCTCACGATCTGCTCCCCGCTATGTTCTGCTCACATTAGAGGGTGACACAGGAGTGGATTTTCAAACCTCTCCCATCCCACTCCCACAAAAAAAAATCCCGTCCCGTCCCAATCCCACGAAAAACCTGGTGGAAAATCCCGTCCCATCCCAATCCCGGAAGAATGACTTCCATTCCCTCCCACTCCCGTGTTGTTTTTTGGCCGGAATCTGTCAGTTACAGTGAAAAAATACAGTACAGATCACTGCATGCCCACTTTAGTTGAATAAAAATCCAAAATGTAGTTTTTTGTTATTTTATTGAACTGAAAGCCAGCTTAAACAATGCACAGTGTACATTGCACACACATTAAATTTCATGTAAATCATCCATACTAACTGTTTTATATTTGATTTTTTTTTTTCATTTGAAAGTAGACATTTCACTCTCTATAGATATATTTTTCATACACGGAGTTTCGAAGTTTCTCGCTCAAGTTCACAGACCGAGACGGCAGAAAGCGCATCCTGTTTGCTTTAATTATTTTACAGAAGCGCAACGTTTCGTTGTTATTCTGAGTGCACACAAATAAACGAGTTTTTACAGATTCGAAAGATGTATTATTTTTTTCTGTATGACCAAAAATTACGGAGTATTTTAAGAGCAAGTGAGCACCGGTGCCTCCATCTGTCCTGCAGTGAGCGTGCTGCTGTTCAGCTTCCACACAGACACTTGAATATAGCGCACATTTCTCTAGGTTAACATTAGATTGAGCGGCCATGTAAAGTTGTTACTACATACATCTTTCAGATGAAAAGCCATATTTGAGGTCGATGAATGATAGGTGGGTGTTTGGATGTCCTGCCCGATGTACTGTATTACCATAGAGCAGCCGTTAACGATCTGTCTGTCATGGACTGCGTACGTCATTCACTTAACCAGCCACACCAAAGCAAACAGGAGGAGAGCATAAAGAGACAGGGCAACTAGATTTGAGTTTAAAATTAAAATATACAGTTTATAGTTTATTTATATAAAAGGTATATTTGTGTATAAAGTTGGGTATCATAGTGTTATTACGATTCCCGGTCCCGCCCACTCCCACTGACATTTTTCCTGTCCCGTCCCAATCACGTGATCAATAGTGATTTTGTTTCCCATCCTACGGGATTCTCGAAAAAATGTCAGCCTCTAGCTCACATGCTCTGATAATAATAGCTTTGTATGACTATACATTATTTGGATAATTAGTCAAAAAAAAAAAAGAAAAAAAGAAAGTTAAATCCGATTCTGTTGAATAGAACTGGAAAAAAAAATATTGATATTTAATATATTTTCTGTCAAATTTTATTTTGTTACTTTCAATAAAAGTGTGGTTATTTTATTGGCTTGTATTTTTTTAATTCAGTATCATTAAATTAAAAAGTCTTACAAAATTATTTTACATTATTTAAAAAAATTATAATTATTATTCGTCCAGAAATTTCGGTTTCGTCCCAGAATTTTCATTTCAGTGCATCCCTAATAAAAATGAAATAAAATCCATCAAAGAATCCTAAAAAAATGTATCACAGATATATTAAAAACAATTAAATATATTTAAAAAACTGTTTAATATATGTTTTTTTGATGGATCATTTCACACTCAAGGCTGGAATACTGACTGCTGAAAATTCAGCTTTGTATCACAGGAATAAATAAAACCTTCAAATATTATAACACAAAATAGGTATTTTAAATTGTTAATTATAATTTTTTTTACAGCATTTTTATTCAAAAAAAACAAAAATGCAGCCTTGGTGAGAATAACAAATTTTATTCAAAAACGTAAAAAAACCTTTTTGAACGTTATTGTAAATATTTGACTGATTTTCACAGAATTGTGCCCAATCAGAATCACGTATTCCAGAGAACCAAGAACAAACTTTATTAAATAAATAAATAAATAAATATACACAAACGCTGCATTTTTACTTAAAATATTTAAAAACAGAAATTGTGCGTTATCCATAAATAAATACAATATGGACTAAAAAATTAATTCAATACCATTTTTTTTTACTCAAAAAATACTTAAAAACAGAAATTGTGCATTATCCATCAATAAAGCTATTGGCTTTTGGAATTGACACTTCTATTACCCGGCCAAACTGGCAGGGTTAACGGTTAATTTTGATAAACACAAAATGGTAAAATTAATATATGATTGATTAAAATATAATTATTTATAATTTATTAAATCCCTACTTATATATATATATATATATATATATATAACAGACTACCTTTTTAGAACACAGAAGGAGACAAAGAAAAGGGGGCTTTGACATGCATTTAGGGTACACTGATGCGGTTGTGTACACCTGAAGCAGCATGGTTGGCAGCGGCCATCACAAATTACTCTCTTATACTCTGTTCCTGTTACCGGAAGTTTATCTCATTAGCTACAATAGAGGTAGAGCACTAAAGAGAAAGCACAGGCAGCTGAGAGTCACAGAACACACTCTTCTGTGCCAAAAAACACTTTCTAGTGCAAAGGTCCTTTTACATTCACATGCTGAAGCTCGTTTTAGCCCAGGTGTTCAGTTATGGGAAACTAAAGTCTCAAAGCAGGTTTATGGTCACACCTGATATTGTCAATGCATTATAAACAATAAATTGCAGATTAAACAAATAATCAAAAGCTGTATTGGAGAAAAGTGATTGTATTAATTTGATGATGATGATGAAGAGAAGCATTGGAAGAGTCTCTGTTCAGGAGGGTTGGTGGGGAGTGCTGAGGGTTAGGATAGATTCCAGCATGTTCCATGACGCATGTGGTAATGTATGTGCACGTGTCACTGTCCTTGACTGTGTTTGCAAGTGTGAATGTTTTAGAAGACTCACCTCTCAAAGGCAGGCCATGACATCTCCTCACTGAGCTCCGACCCTTCACTGCTTCCTGAAATCATACGATCATGACATAAAGAATGAAAAGAATGATCCAGTCCATGATCCAGTAGCTCTGTGCGTGTGTTTGTGTCTCATACCCAGTGAAATGCCGCTAGACAGTGTTGAGCTCTCTGCCTGTCCTCGTGTGGGAGTGTGGCTTTCCAGCACGCTGTCGTCCAACAGGTGTCTGGATCCGGCGTTGGGGAAAGTAGCGCTTTTAAACTCCACCGTGTTCGTTTTGTGGATAAAACTGCAGCACACACAGGACAGAGATGAAGTTAAAGATTATGACATCTCCTCACTGAGCTCCGACCCTTCACTGCTTCCTGAAATCATACGATCATGACATATAAAGAATAAAAAGAATGATCCAGTCCATGATCCAGTAGCTCTGTGCGTGTGTTTGTGTCTCATACCCAGTGAAATGCCGCTAGACAGTGTTGAGCTCTCTGCCTGTCCTCGTGTGGGAGTGTGGCTTTCCAGCACGCTGTCGTCCAACAGGTGTCTGGATCCGGCGTTGGGGAAAGTAGCGCTTTTAAACTCCACCGTGTTCGTTTTGTGGATAAAACTGCAGCACACACAGGACAGAGATGAAGTTAAAGATTTAAATGTTTTCTTAATCATTAGTGACAAATCTGGCAAGAAACCAGAAGAATATCACATATAGAGCTTGTAGAAACTAAGTACAAGGCAGATCCTTCTTCAGGAAGTTACTGCTTTATGCTACAGAGAGTTTCAATGAATTGCACTAAGCTACACACAAAGGAGTGGGTGAAGTAAACAAATGAATGGAGAATATGAATCAAACGCACTTGTAGCCGAGGCTGTGGCACTTCCTGTGTCCGTAGGTGATGAGGTTCCGAGGTGAGGGTGGCGTTGGCGGGACTTTAGGCAGGGCACCTTCAGCAACATTACCACGACGACCACATAACGGTGACGCAGATATATCTGGACCCGTGTCACAAAAACAACAGACATACTAATCATTAACAAGAACGTGTGACACTGAAGGCGTTCAGCTTTGGGGAGAGCAAATCTGAACCAATGAAACTTCACTGTGGTCAGAGCAAACCCAGCATGATGCAACATAAATAAAATCCAAACGTCCAACGAAATGTTGTCACATGTCAAGGCTGCATCTGGTTAGGATAACAACTCAGAAGAGAAGTATGGCATGACGCCTGGTTAGCGTCAGTGTGTGTGGGCTGCATGCATTTCTCACCTGTGAGGTCTTCTCTAGAGGCAGTGGTGCGAGGTGTGCTGGTAGCTGGTGGCTCAGTCTTTAGGGACAACCTGATACGTATACAAACATGAGTATCATTTACAAATTCAAACACTAACACAAAAAGTATAATATACACTACCTGTGAGAAGTTTGGAATTATTATTATTATTTTTTTTAAAGAAGTCTCTTAAACTCACCAAGGCTGCATTTATTTGATTAAAAATACAGAAAAAACAGTAATATTGTGAAATATTATTACAATTTAAAATAGCTTTTTTCAATTGTAATATATTTTAAAATGTAATTTATTCCTGTGATGCCATGATGAATTTTCAGCATCATTACTCCAGTCTTCAGTGTCACATGATCCTTCAGAAATCATTCTAATAGGCTGAGTTACTGCTCAAGAAACATTTCTTATTATTATCAATGTTGATAACAGTTGTGCTGCTTAATATTTTTGTATAAACCATGACTATCATTCAAGTAAAAAAATAAAATCAGATTTGCATCACAGGATTAAATTACATTTTAATTTATATTCAAATAGAATCTTTTATATAATTTATAATTTAATTAATAATTAATATTGCAATAATATTTCATAATATTACTGTTTTTACTGCATTTTCCACCAAATAAATGCAGTCTTGGTGAGCATAAGGGCCTTCTTTCAAAAACATTCAAAAAAATCTTAATTATTCCAAACTTTTGACCGGTAGTGTTTTATGTAATATAAACACTGCTCACTTATAATTGTCGTCCTCCACAAACTTCTGTAACTCCTCAATGTAGCGCACAGAGTTAAGATACTTCTGGACATGCGGCAATACTGGGATATCTGAGACAGAGGGAGAAATGAATTCCCAGTTACTTCTGTTCATTTGCCAAAGTAAACAAACTCGCAAATGTGATACGCACCATATTCAACGGATCTCTGCAGGTCTGAGATGATTCTCAGAATGTTGTTCATGAGGTTGGAACGCTGTTCGTTTTCCAGAATGCTGCCGGTGGATGGATACGCCGAATCGATGTAGGTCAGATCAGACAGATATATACCTGCAAATATACAAGAATGTAAAAAAAATTGTAAATGTAAAAAAAAAGTCCCTTTTTGGCTACAAAATCTACAGCAAAATTGTGCTACAGCTTTAAATGTGACCCGTGCTGACAAAATGAGTCGGAATGTGCACAGACTAATTTTGAAAAAGTGAAAAATGTCAACTTTGTTCAAGCTTGAGGTTTTCACAAAAATGAGTTCATTAAGCCCTCATCTACTCTGCTCACTTCTTGACGACTGCTGCCTCCCCTCAGCACAAATATGGTATAATTGTAAAGCGCAGCATTCCAGTTTCGAATTTTTTTTTTAAGAATTTGCTCATTGCGACTCATTTTGCCAGCACAGGTCTCAAATATTCTTCATCTCTTTATTTCTCCTTTCCTATCAGAAATCATTGTTCTGTTGTTGTCTGTCTGCAGTTAGGAGGTGGACAGACAGGCTTTCTCTGGCCCGTCTAGAGAGCGCTTATTTCATACCGAGTAAATATTTGGATTAGTGAGGACCATTATGTGCAGGAAGTATCTGCATTAAAAAAGAAAGATGTGCAGTTTCTGGAGAAACATTTGGCAGCATGTAACAGACCGTGTGTGAATATTGATGATATGTGTTTGTGACAGCATGTTCTTAGGAATATTAGCTAGGGGACTGCAAACATGCAGCGGTTCGTTACAGACATTACATTAGAGCATCACATCTGTGATGATCATCAAAACACAACATGAATGACTGCATGACAAATGAAAGATTCAGAAAATAATTATAGAGACAAATCAATCCCAGAATCCAGACTGATTTAAAACAGACAACGGAAGAGAGAGCGCATTGTAAGCATTGTCTGAATTACCATTACTCTGCATCTCTCAGCAAATCAGGGTTAAGATAATAATTACAGCCCTGTGCCAGACAGCCTGCAGCACACACAACTTAGCAGACACATTGCAAAGCAACACTGACATAAAAGCAGACAGAATCCCACAATAACTTACGATGACATAATGATTAGATAAGTAAAAGTAACACAGAAAACTGTGCTGTAGTGTAGGTGGACACTGAGAGTTGGGATTGAAAGTGCAGTAGGTGGAGTCGATCAAGTGATTGACAGCCCTAGATCTCTAAATCTAAACAGAAGAATTGCACAATTGCATCAACGAAACTGCTAACCCATAGATTAAAAATTCTAAATAAATATATAAATAATAAGCATACATGTTTGGACCCACTATATATTACTGTTCAAAAGGTTGGGGTTGGTCAGTTTTTTTTTTTTTTTAATCTTATGCTCACCAAGGCTGCATTTATTTGATCAAAAAAACATCTGTAAAAGCAGTAATATTCTGAAATTGTATTACAATTCAAAATAGCTGTTTTCTATTTTAATATATTTTAAGACGTAATTTATTCCTGTGATGCAGAGCTGAATTTTCAGCATCATTACTCCATTCTTTAGTGTCACTCGATCCTTCAGAAATCATTTTAATATGCTATAATATGAAGCATAAGTAGTATTTATTATCATCAATGTTGTGCTGCTTATTATTTTTTTTCTGGAAACCAGATACATATTTTCCCCCATGATTTTTTAATGAATAGAAAGTTCAAAAGAACATTTATATGAAATGTATCTCTTTTCTTTCACTTCTGAGCAACTGAATGAATCCTTGCTGAATAATAGCATTAATTTCTTTCAAAAATCTTACTGACCCCAAATGTATTTAACAGTAGTGTAAGTAATTGTATCATCAATGCTATGAACGCAATACAAAGTGAAAGAGATCTTGAAGAGAGACGGCTGCTTTGTGAATGTCAGACAAAGCTCAGGCACAAGCTAAATATTATTGTGGGAAAGCAAAATGGGAGAAAATCTCTACCGAACAGGAGACGTCTGTCCATTTCCTTAATACCTCATTTAATAGGGTGAAGTCCAGCCATTCAGGCATCACACTTCCATTTTAAACACCTCTGCAAATCACACACACACACACACACACACACACACACTCAACATAAAACCTGAACGCCTAATTCGTACTCCAACTGCTACTACTGACCAGAGCTCAAACAAACAACCTGGTAGAAAACCATAAAAATAAGGGAAAAACTGACACAGTTGCGGGGGAAACATTTCTTGCAGTATGAAATAGTTGACACATAAATAATCAATTCTTCCTTATGGGCAATAATTATAGAAAACACATTTGACGTGTCCCTCAGTTTGTAAAAACAAATAAAAATAGTGTTTAAAATAATGCAATTATAATGAAAGTCAAGGGGCTCTTGAGGCACTGAAAGCAGAACTTATAAATTGTCCTGTATGACTATTCAAGGATGAACTTCTATTTAATGTGTTACCGACATAATTCCTGCGAGTGGTTTTTATATAAACAGTCTCTTTCTGGAAAAATGGCCTGTATTATATGAAAAAGAGGGTTCGCTGCCATTACACGGTCATGACAGGAGTCAAACGCCTGTATATAATGTTACATAGACAAGGTTAGAAAGTGATTTTATCGCACTAGTCTCATGTAAACACATATAATGTGTTCACATTTTGTGGTTGTACAATCAAAACCATGTCTATTTTAACATTTATTCTAGTGCAGTGGCTCGCCCCATAGACCTCTATTCCTTTAGCTGTGGAAAACAAACCCACAAGAAACCTTGCTGTCCTTAAAGGTACAGTTCACCCAAACATCAACGGAGTCCAAACACACAAACAAACACTGGACCCCACTGAGTTTCAGTGTGTGGACAAAAAACAGAGACATTCTTCAAAACATTTTTATTTGACTTGCACAGAAGTTTGAAACGACATGAGGTCGAGTAAATGATGAATTTTCATTTTTAAGCAAACTATCCCTATGAGGATATCAAGCTTTCTGAAGATCAAATGAGAGCCAAACACACAAACATTCATGACCGCACCCAAACAGCACTTCAGCTGTGAATTTATACAAACAAGCACGGGAAGGAGATTCTGGTGTCACGGGTCAGATTGTTCAAACACATGCTCCACACTTCATCCAAATGATCCTCAGTTTCCTTCTTCTATTTTAAACAAACAACTGAGAGACATGCGTGGGAAGATCATTATCTATTCAACTTGTGGCGTCCTCTCATGACTGCTGAAAGCATGTGCGTGTAGCGAGACCGAGTGCAGACCACAGGAAGGAACGGAGTCCTGTGCTGCTGGGCTCTAAGCGAAAGCAGTCCTCTCCGTCTCCACATAGACCGCAAGCCTATTCTCCCTGAGTTCAGAGAGATCCCTCTCCCCCGCTTGCTGTCCCTTTTAGATGGGGTTGAGTTATTCTGTCTCTATTTCAGCACCCGTTACATCAGAGGAGGGGTTAGGCCCTTCCCTCCAAAAAGGAGAAGGACAAAGGGAAGAGAGAGAGAGAGAGAGAGAGAGAGAGAGAGAGAGAGAGAGAGAGAGAGAGAGAGAGATAAAACGACA